TTAACCCTATAATTGATGCTTCTTGGAGAAATCGTTGGAACATTAGTTCATTAATCTCTCTAATTTTATTGAATTGATTTGATTGATAGAAAATATTTGACATATAGGTTGACATCCTCTCACAAGTGTTAGAATTCAAGTGTACAAGTAGTCTTTCACCCTGTACCCTTGGAGGCATAACCTGCGATTTACCTCCCTCACGATACTCCAGGGCAGGGGTGGTGGGGGACNAAACTTAACCCTATAATTGATGCTTCTTGGAGAAATCGTTGGAACATTAGTTCATTAATCTCTCTAATTTTATTGAATTGATTTGATTGATAGAAAATATTTGACATATAGGTTGACATCCTCTCACAAGTGTTAGAATTCAAGTGTACAAGTAGTCTTTCACCCTGTACCCTTGGAGGCATAACCTGCGATTTACCTCCCTCACGATACTCCAGGGCAGGGGTGGTGGGGGACCTTAAGGTTAGGGTTTAACCTTTAGAATTCAAGTGAGATCCATATGAATTAAAAAAGATAAAAAAAAATTCTTTACCACTCTTTAAAGGGTGTTTGATAGGTATTTTTATATAAAAATGTATTTTAGAATAGTAAATTGATGTGAAATATGTGGTTGAAAAATAAGAAATTTTTTTGATTTACACATAATAATATTTTAATAAAAAATATGTAGTTGAAAAGAAGAGAGAAAAATACATTTTGAAAAAAATGACTACCAAACGGGGTCGTATTGTGAGTAGGCCGAGGGTGTCAAATCCTTACTGATAGCTTGGCAAGGTTTGGTTATTTTTACGGGAGATGCTACACTTATAGAAGCCTTTGTACAGATATTGGCTGCACACAACATGGGGGCGGAGGGATAATTTTTTGGCATTATTTTATCATTTACATGGAGCCCACCATGTGAATACCACCATGTGAATAATCTGGTGGAACCCTGTTTTTACTTCCGATCGCCGTCTCATCAATTAGAAAAGAAAGGGCGGCGGCCCAATCGTGGCCATACGGTGGGTTATACTGCGGTGAATTTAATGCAGTGATGAATTGGGTCTGTCACTCTGTCGTCACTGTCAGCGCACCCTTTTTTCTCGATTTCTACATTTTCTATAAATATTATTTTTGGGCAATAATGAACTTTTCTATTCAATCAATAGCCTTTAATATTCACCAAAAACCAGTCTTGTTGGAACCTCCCTTCACTGCAAAGCCATTCCTCAACATGAAGTCATGAAGTGATGACTCTCTCTCTCTACATATATATATAAACTATAATATTTTCGGGCACGTCAATGCTCTTTAGCAGCCAATGCCTTGTAGCTTTCTGAGTTTCGGCATTTAATTAATCTCTGCATGTGTACTGTGTTACGAGGGCAATCAGATTGAAATTTCAGAAGTTTTATTTTTTATTTGTTGCCATTTTCATATAAACTGTATTGTGTATAGTGGAACTCCAAAAAATAAAAAAAATAGTGAGAAAAATGAGACCAAGGATTTACCTTTTTGGAGACTCTATCACTGAAGAATCCTTTACCGATGGCGGCTGGGGATCTTCTCTTGCAAATCACTTCTCTCGCACGGTAATATATGCATGTATACACACAAAATTGTGATAATTTTTTTTATATATAATTTGTTGATTTGTTTGTATTGATGAACGAATTAGATGGATGTGGTGTTAAGGGGGTATAGCGGGTACAATACGAGATGGGCTCTTAAGGTGGTGGAGAAGGTGTTTCCACCGCCGGAGAGAGGCGGTGTGCCGATGGCAGTGACGGTGTTCTTCGGCGCAAATGATGCTTGCCTTCCAGATAGATGCAGTAGCTTCCAACACGTGTCTGTTGACGAGTACAGGAAGAATCTCCACGCCATTATCGCCTTTCTCAAGGTAGTTAAATCCCCACACGTGTACACGCTTACACGCTTCACCCACGCACTCCGTGCCTGCATGGTTCAACACGTCGGTTTACAAGCCACTCACACAAGAGGCTCAGTGGGTCACGCTTTTTTTTTTTTTTTTTTTTTAATTGGACGAAGGCCCCTCCCTCCTATGAGGGCGTCCGGTACAAATAGCAAAATTCAAACTTTCTTTTTTCTTTTACATATTAAGGCCCCGTTTGGTAGAAATTTTGAGAATTGATTTTTTGACCGTTAGAAGAAAAATGGGGTCCACATGTGAGAGAAGAAGTCAAAAATTACGGCTTGAATAGTAAAATAACGGTCAAAAAATCAATTTTTTGGGGTAAAAAATCCCTACCAAATGGGGCCTAAGTGCGAAAATAATGCTATTCATTGTCTGAATGATGGTAGTCCGCATCCTATGTATCATGATTTTAATAATTAAAAAATGAAACAATTACATATTAGATGCCAAGTAGGCCGAATATTAAATTCGTCGACTGCGAATAGCATATTACTTTAGGTGTACCTATAGGGGAAAATAGGACAATACATTTCTTGTAGAAAAGTTTAAAGGCTGTTTGGTTGGAATTTTGAAAAGCTAATGCTGTTTTTGAGATCAAGAAGCTGATTTTTAAACATTTTTGAATAATTTTTTAAAATATTTTTGTGTGGAACAAGAAACAAAAGCTCTGCCAAATGGGGCTCTTAAGTCTTAGATGTCCCTTGTTGATCTCATTTTGCTGGTATGATTTGATTTCATTCTGAAAATTTAATTTTAGCTTATGTTTGGTTCCCATTTTTTTTAAAATTCATTTTCAATCAAACATTCTCTACTAAAATAATTTTACGCGCAAATCAAAACTTCCTTATATTTTAATCATACATTATGCAAAAACCCCACTATTCCAAAATATATTTCTCTTACAAAAATGGGGTTAATCAATTCAGGAATGTCCCTTTTATGAATCATTTTTATTTTTTTGTTGCGCATGCTCTCTAGTATGATGAAATGGGCAATGTTTGTGGTGCCGTTGGGTCCTATAGCACTGGTGGGCCTTAGTAAGTTCGTGCAAGAAAAGTGCACATGCAACTATCAAGTATGCAAGAGGCCCAGTAGTCGCTATTATTGTTTGCCACTTAGCTATATTTTTTCAATTCATTTGCTGTCAAATTGTACAATGCATGGAGTGCCTGTCATTTCATTAAAATCAGCCTTTGCTTTCTGATATTGTGAGGTTTTGATGTGATTTTCTTGCATTCATGCATTGCACTTCACACAATTTATGATCTCTACTGCAAAAAAAATGAATGTTGTGCATCGAGGCAGAGCACAAGCTTTTGAGGGGATCTTTCTAACCTCTTCTTTCTCAATATCCTCCACTAGCAATGATCCCTTCTCCTTGGAAATAAAAAATGTAAAACCGAAAACTCTAGGAAGTTAAAAAAAATAAAAAAAAAATCAATAAAATTGGGGACAATATTTAAAACTTCAAAAAAGATAGGAAAAACGAGTGCACACCTTAGCTGGCCTGAGGTTTATCTTTTAGGCATAAGCCTCGTATTGAGGTGTGAGTCTTGAAATGTTAGTCAATGCATAAGCTTCGAGATGTTTAAAGAAAACCTCTAGTCGTTAGCCTCAAATAGCTTTTCAGAATGTGTGCTTATCATGCTACTGATATATCCTACTCTACTTGAAGGCGATGGACCAAGATAGAATCGTAAAGGACATTAACTTTGGAAAAGAAAATTACTATGGTATGTTACATGGCAATAGCCAGGACAGCTTTGCTAGAAATCCAGGGCCAATGTGGCCCTGGATGAGCAGACAAATTCTAGCCAGGAGTGAAAATATTGGTTATGCAAAAGCACTAGTTACTCAAGGATTATCACTAAATTTATTAAGTTATCTTTTCTCTTTCCCCCTGTTTATCTTAATTAGGTACTTAATATTCTCCACTCAATTTCTTCATGTTTCCTTGTGTTACTGCTTATCTGTATATCCATTTAGTGTAGTGTAAAATGTAGAAGATTATATAGTTGGTCCTATGGGATGATGATATTTTATATATGGAAAATGATCTAATGGACACCAGTGCTTAGCTTGTGTTGAGCACCGATGACATGACACGTCATTTGATTGATAAGTAAGTTAATGGTAGGTTTCATGGATTTAATAATTCACTAATTAATTGTTGTAATATGTTATCGGTACTTAATATAAACTAAGCACCAGTGCCCATTAGATCATTTCCCTTTTATAAATCATGAACTGATTACTCCAAAATGATATTTTTTCATTTTTATTTTTTTGTTGTGGGGCAGGGGGTTTGTTGGTTCAATACTTGAATGCATGAGCAGAAAACAAATATACACACTGTGTTGTATCGAACTAAATAGTGGCTTAGTTGGTTTAGGATAATATCAGTTCGTAGGACTGGAAGAAGATGGATTTGACCCTCGAAACTTTTATTTTGTAACCCACAAGTCTGTCTACTGGCATGACATTCATCAATCATTTCCTTTTGAAGTCCAATGCTTCGATTGACTTCAGTCTCGTGGATTTCATATGAAAGCTCAATTTCGATTAGTTATCATGCCTTCATGTTAAAGAAGGATTCATACCAGGCAACTTTGCCTTTATGACAGTAACCTGCTCATATGTGTAGTTTGATAAGCTGGATTTTTTTTTATTTTTTTTCCACCGTGCCTAGTTTCTTTATTGCCAAGCCTCGGCATGATGGTTCAAGATTTATGCTCCAATGTGAAGTTTGATTCGCATCATCCTGCTCTCTTGATTGAATTCGTGTTTTCTTATCATCATTTTAATTGTATTTTGCTCTGCTCGATAACAATAAGTTATTATTACACTTTTCATGGCTGGAAATTCTGATATTCAATAGATTTTATGAATTGGTTACTGATGTTTATCCTGACTAAAGATCTGTGATTGAATACACTATTGAAAATATTTTCAATTTGGGGCAATTTCACAACCTACACCTACATAAAAATACCCTGATTCATTAATTTGAGTTCACTTTGCTTCTGATGGGATGCTTTGTCTTATATATTTTCTATTTTGGTGACATTCAGAAACGATGGCCTTCTGTTCGTATTCTCCTAATCACGCCTCCTCCAATTGATGAAGATGGACGTCTTCAGTAAATTTCTTCCCTGTGCAGTTATTCATATTAATTCTTAGCGTTTGAAATTTTATAGATTGTTCATTTGTACATGTTCGGTTTGCAGTTATTAATTAGTGTTGAAGTTTAGAGCTTGTTTATGAAGTGTTTATAAATGGTTTTGTTTATAATCACATAGAAATAAGTAGTGGACAAGTGGGCAATAACTGTGGATCCCATAAAACGTGTGGATAAAATTTGATTTGACCCTTTGTCGATCGTTTATAAACGGTTTATATACACTTGCCAAACATATGCTTAGTTAGAGAAAATGCAGGAATCCATTTGTCGAGAACGAATCAGGTCTACCTGAGAGAACAAATGAGGCTGCTGGCAGGTATGCCAAAGCCTGCCTTGCAGTTGCTGCGGAATGTGGAATTCCGGCTGTGGATCTTTGGACTAAAATGCAGCAGGTTCCTGGCTGGCAAAAAGCTTATCTAAGGTACTTTTGTTTCATTCATATGATTGTAATCTCTAGCAGAGTATATTATTTGGCATTATTTCCTATATAAATCATGGTACATTAAAATAGATACTCCTTTCATGTAATAATTCTCTCGCTTCTCATTATTATTCGACTGGGCAGTTGTGTCAATTTTCTTGACTCTCTTCAAATTCGTCAAGTAGTACGTCCACTCTTTTCTCAAGAAATTTCCTAAAACAAAATTTCATCTTCTTCGTTGGCTCCAAATTTTCAAGGTGATCTTTATACCTTATCCTGCCAAGAACTAAAGGCCCGTTTTATTGCAAAAATGAAATTTGGGTGGAAAGAAAACTAATTCTAGTGAATTGAATTGCCTGGAACTTGTTTTCTTGGGAATTATCAATTAAATATGTTTGATTGATATAATTTTCCAGAAATTTCCGGTTCTCACTTCTCAGTATGCTAATTTCATCTGCAAAGACAGATGATCTTCAGAAAATATAATCTCCATTTCTGTATTGAATTGCAGAGATGGTTTGCATCTGAATAAAGGTGGCCAAAGAGTTGTATTTGAGGAAATAATCCTCGGACTAAAGGGAGCAGGCCTAAGTCTGGAGACTCTACCAGTTGATCTTCCACTTATAGCCGAGATTGATCCTAAAGATCCCATGAAGTCTTTTGAGAATTAACTTGGAAAATGGGGACACTTTATTATGCTGGTATGAATATAGTGAACTCATATGCTAAAAGCATGATATATCTGCATATTTTGGTGCAACTTTTGTGCTACTGTTGATTTTGTCGAACTCTACAGCATTCTAGTAAAATGCTTTTGCTGTGTCATGTAGCTGGTGAAAGTTAAGGCCGTAACATTCTGAAAATATTCGCGTTAAATTGCAATTACACTTTGTCGAGAAAGAAATAATGACGAGTAACTTTCAAATGCCATGAAAACTAGGGTAAACATGGTGAGAATTGGATTAAACTGCATGAGTAAAAATTCTACATATCGAATCATTTTCCATATGGAGTGATGGAACCGAATTCGACAGGAGCCAACTTATTATATTTCAGTCAAGTCCGTAAAATTTTATTGACACAGCACGAAATAAAGAATTTAAAAGAAAATCATAAGAGCACAATTTTTGACCCCCGTCATCTTCAACTCCATTTTCTTCAATTCTTTACCATTTTATTTTTTCCCCATTATCCATAATCTAGGAGTTACACAAGAATATTGCAGGGGTTCGATAGTTAGACTTGTTATATTGGAGTTTAACCAAAATGTGAATTCATCGAATTCGTACTGTCTACTTTTTGGGGTAAAATTAAATGAAAATAAAGTGCCCCTTTGACGGAAACCTTAGGTAAGCTTCATGGCTAGTCGCTCTTTAGATTTTCCAAACTTAGCAAGACTAAACCATCTGAATAGCTAAAAGAGGCTTTTGCATACTTACTCCATTCCTTCCTTTGCTAGGAATGGTGGAACGGAAAAGAAAATATTCTTAGATTGTATCGAATCAAAAGTAAGAAGAGCCCGCTTTTTTTTTGTTTTTATTTTTTTTTAACGCGTGTCATTTTAATTATACTAATATTTTTTAATTTTTAAAAATGTCTATTATACTATGCATTTTTAACCAAAGACACACTAAAAGTTTTAAGTTTGGTTTGGAAAAAAAAAAAAGACTTGGTACAAACTACAAACTACAAACCAAAAATTAATATGCTTAACATTAATAGCGAGTAGAAGAGGCTCGGAGATTGTGATACGGGAAGGTGAAAAAATTGGTGAAAAAAAATACTATATTGTTTTGTTAAAAATATAATTATAAGCAAATATTTCTCATTTTCTATTTACAAGTGTTACGTGTTCGCACACTTGAGTAACCCATTGGGGCCCATAGCCAACTCATGCTGAACCACGTGACACTCAAGTTGAGGTGATTTGCATAGCCGAGGCCCACAAATCGAGGTTCACAAAAGCTTAGGCCCATATATACCGAGGCTCATCTATCATTGCCTCTTGAGGGGTTTCGAAGCCCATATGCCAAGACCCTTTGAAGGTGGACGAGGCCCTGTTGGCCGAAGCTCTGTAATCGAGGTAGCAGCTTACGAATCACAAAGCAGCATCTTCTATAGACACTTCTCCCAAGAGATTCTCTGCACAAAGATCTTACTAGAATGATTGACAGGACGTTTGTCATGAGTGTAAATGCTAAGTCTTGTTATTAATAGAGGCGACTCTGCCAATCAATAAATGCATAGCAGGCTAGGTACGGCTGATGCCTACAATTTGACATCTAAATTAACCGGATGAGGCCACATGTACCCCGAACCAAAGGTCACGATCTAACTTGTGACATTATAAATACTCCCCCATGTACCCCATACAGAGGCTAATGCAAGAATCAGTACAATAAACCATACTTTACTCAACTCTCTCTTTCTTATTATCTTGCAATACAATACGAGTTTACATATTTACAAATATCCATTGGTAATTATTGTACAGTCGGTTTACCAACATCTCACCGGATTTCTAACGTTCTCGTCCCGTGCAATTGAGTTACTCCCACGCCCTTGATCTGTCTGTTTTAGACCGTCCACGTATCTTTGCGTGTTGGACTTTCGCTTATGTGTGTGCGAGTGGGTCCGGCATCTGTTGGCAACATATTCTAGGGTCAATAGATTGGCGCCGTATTTGAGAAACCATACCATAACCACGAACAACTTTGTGGTGAAAGTTTATTAAAGAGGAGCATTTGGGTATCCCCCTTGAAAAAGGATTTGTTCTTGAAAAAGAACAAGAGGAAGTTCTACAACATAGCAAAAATCTGAAGGGTAAGACGCAAAGAAAATGAGTTCAAACGAAGATACACCCCCAAGAGGGTAAGAGAAAATGCTGATATGCCCCCTCCAGCAGCTCGACATAGACCCCACCACAACTACAGAAGAGGTGGAATGCGTGTGACGGCCCGGCTGTCAAGAGAAATGGCGCCATAGTAGCTAATATGAGGGACATTGCTAGCCAAAACATGACTATGAGGGAACTCATGGCCCAAATGTAGGGCCAGGGAGGCTTCTCTATTCCTCCATAAGCCCCTCAAGGACAATACCAGCAAGAAGATGAAGTTCAAAGCTGTAGGGCTACCTCGCCGGACTATAGCCGAGGTAGAAGCCCATTTGAAAGGGAAGTAGAAGTTAATGTTTCCTCCAACTACGCTTCTGGCCGACCCACCGAGGTCCCTTTGAACCATGATAACTTCTCACCTCCGTATGAGTAAGAGCAAAGACATAGGAGGTCAGGCAGTGTATTTGACAGAATTAGCCCTGCTGAACCGAGGCTCAGACAACAACAACATCACGAGCTTTGGACAAGGCCACAGCCTCCACCTCCAATGCCTTAACAGCTGGAAGAAAGGCATGAAAATACCCCTTGTGCTGCTCTGCCTAGAAATAGGCGCCAAAGGAGGAAAGAACATCTCCCCAACAATCAAGGTATGAGGCCGATGAAAACGATTTAGATGAGCAGCAGAGGTCCTGTGACTTGGACGATGACGATGAAAACCTGCCATTCTCAAGGGAACTAAGGAGCGCCCAGGTCTCGAACCACTATGTTATGCCAAAGATACCAAAGTATGACGGAAGAGGCGACCCAGAGAAGCACCTGAATGCTTACAAAACTCACATGAGCCTAAGGGACGCCACCCCAGCTGTGAAATGCAGAGCTTTCCACTTAACACTTAGCGGAGCAGCTGAAATTTGGTATAGTAGGTTACCAGCTGGGGGCATAAGAAGTTGGCCAGAATTCAAGACGACCTTCTTGAAGAGGTTTGTTGTAAGTAAAGAGGGAGGGGCCTCCATCCAACGTCTCCAAGGCATGAGATAGGCACATGGGGAGTCCCTAAAGAGCTTCCTATCACGCTTCACCGATGAGATGACATATTGTGTGCAAGTCATTGACCGTGAGGCGTTATCTGCATTGAAAGAAGGTCTGAACATGAACACCATGTTCTGGAGGGACGTGCAAAACCAAGACCCCACCACCTATGATGCCCTACTCAAGATGATGAGACGGGAGATCATCAATAAAGATTTGATTGAGCATAGAAATAGGGCAAGTAGAGGCCTCCCACCTCCTCAAAGACAGAGGGCTGACCTCCCATTTGATGGACTACCAAATAAACCAAGCTGGTAATGAGAGTTCTAGACAAGCACTTTCCACCACCACTCTTAACGCCGTTACTACATTGGCATATGAGGATATCAACCCAGTCGCTGACACCCGGCAGATGGGAACTCCACAAGTATCCCGTAGGGGGAGAGGCCGAGGTTAAGGTTCAGGACCTAGAAATAGGTCAAATCAGAACCCACCTGGATACTGTGTATAGCACTGGTCCTATGGACACGACACAGTAGATTGCCGAGACTATGCTCACCGCTCTCGGCAGGAACCCTTAGGGACAGTAATGAATCGTCCCAGGCAAACAGGTCTCTGCCTAGGTACGATAACTAACCTGGGCATGAAGAAGTTGTATCATGTCAAAGGGATGTTTTTCCGCGATGAAGGGAGCGTGATGCAGAGAGGCTTAGGGAAGGGCACAGACATCAAAGAAATCGACAAACTCAGGATGAGGCCCCTATCCACGAGGTGGATACCATATTTAGAGGCCCGTATGTTGGCAGTGAAACGCAAAATGCCAAAAGGAATTATGCCCGAGAGGGAAAACGCCCTCCTCTGACAAGCTACATTGTGGACAACAACTACCTGAGGAATCAAATTCCACCTATTGTTTTTACCCAGGAGGATGCCGAAGTAGTTCACTACCCCCACTACGATGCACTTGTGGTAAGAGCAGTCATAGCTCGGAATGAGCTCAAACGAGTGTTAGTTGACAATGGTAGCTCCGTCAACATTCTATTTTGATCCACCTTTGACAAGATGATACTGGACCATGAGTTAACATCCACCACCACTCCTTTGTATGGATTTACCCTCCTCAAAGACAGAGGGCTGACCTCCCATTTGATGGACTACCAAATAAACCAAGCTGGTAATGAGAGTTCTAGACAAGCACTTGCCACCACCACTCTTAACGCCGTTACTACATTGGCATATGAGGATATCAACCCAGTCGCTGACACCAGGCAGATGGGAACTCCGCAAGTATCCCGTAGGGGGAGAGGCCGAGGTCAAGGTTCAGGACCTAGAAATAGGTCAAATCAGAACCCACCTGGATACTGTGTATAGCACTGGTCCTATGGACACGACACAGTAGATTGCCGAGACTATGCTCACCGCTCTCGGCAGGAACCCCTAGGGACAGAAATGAATCGTCCCAGGCAAACAGGTCTCTGCCTAGGTACGATAACTAACCTGGGCATGAAGAAGTTGTATCATGTCAAAGGGATGTTTTTCCGCGATGAAGGGAGCGTGATGCAGAGAGGCTTACGGAAGGGATGTTTTTACCCAGGAGGATGCCGAAGTAGTTCACTACCCCCACTACGATGCACTTGTGGTAAGAGCAGTCATAGCTCGGAATGAGCTCAAACGAGTGTTAGTTGACAATGGTAGCTCCGTCAACATTCTATTTGGATCCACCTTTGACAAGATGATACTGGACCATGAGTTAACATCCACCACCACTCCTTTGTATGGATTTACTGGAGATAGCATCACTCCAAGAGGAAAAATCACACTCGTAGTAGAAATGGAGAAGTCTCCCCAAACCACAATGAACTTCATGGAATTCCTCGTTGTCGATAGCCGATCGGCATACCACGGAGTATTGGGTAGGCCAGTTCTAAAGGAATTAAGAGTCGTCACCTCCATCCACCACCTATTTATGAAGTTTCCGACGAAAAATGGGGTGGTAATGGTGAGAGGCGACCAA